TAGAAGCAGCGAAGTTTCAGAATCGCTCACAAACGGCTGAATTGAATGATGTATCAGAAGGGACTTCAGCGATTAACAGAACCATTGAATCAGTTGCATCGAATTCAGTCGATGACAGTCATACACACCAAGGAATGCCAGTACTTTCCCGTGAACATGCAACCACGCCGTGCTTCGTTAGTCGTTCTTATTTTATTACCTCAAGTGGAGAAGTATTCTGCATTGCAGGAAATAATCACATTCTAATCTTATATAATCACTCAGTTCGGTTTATTACAAAAAATTTAACAGCAATCAAATTTGAGATTTTTCCACATTTCCATAGAAATATGTCGTTTTAATCGTTGCGAATGATTTTTTATTCCCTAGAATATGACAACCTTAATATATCGCACTTTCTAAAACAGCACTTGAGTGTTATATAGTTTGTTGTTTTATTCAAAATGTCTATTTATTGATATTGACGCATATGCATTGAACATACTTCATGTTGCAATATCTCTTCAGTTAGTTTTTCGAAAATTCATCTCGTTACATACTTCGATCTTGTTCAGATCACACATTTGACAAGTGTTCGCAAAAAAATATCCATTACAAACTTTTTATTAGTGAATTCATTTAAACTGACTCCAAATGTTTTTCTGATGCCTCATCGTATCTCACTGATCCACCCTATCAATGAAACATTCGTTGTTGTGATAATTTTGATGATATTATTTTCCCTTCCGTTTTCGTGTTTGAACATCATTTGAACAGACTAAAAATGTGATCAGTTTAATAAAATTATTTGGAATGATAGTTTGATGATCAATTCAGGTTGCTCCCTTGCCATCTGATCATCAGCAATCAACAACATCTGTGAAGAAGAGACCATACCATCGACGAAAGGATTCATTTCCACAAGAGAGGAGTGAAGCGAGCAGTAAAACTAATAATAAGTAAGTGAAGTTATGTAAGAATTAGTTGATGCACATTCGTTGTCGTTTAACCATAATTTTTCATATTCGTGCCATTTCATCCTCTATGATTAGGTTTTTTATCTCTTCTCCCGAATTTTCATCTGTGTCATTTCACAATGTTTCATTTACTGAGTTATTATTCGAAGACAAGGCTTACACTTGAAACTACACTTGCGATCAGGCTCTTTAAGAAATACATGGCGCATTCCCAAGAGAAGTACATTCCCAAGATAATCTTCGGAAGGAAACCTCTTATTTCTGTGGGCAAAAACTTTCTCATTTATTCATTCAGTGAATTAAATTAATTCTTTGTGACATGAAAAGATTCTAAAGTTCGTGCGAAAGTGTTTTTAGCCATGAAAATATTTTCTCACAAACACTTTCAGAAGCACCCTCCGTCGACGCCGTTCAGCGCCAACTGTCAGTGTACAGTCGAGTACAGTAGATGGAATACCGCGAAAGAGAGGACGAAAAGTATCAGTTTGATTTGCCCATTGATTTCGTATTCTCGTCGCATCAGTTGTATCTCATTCTGAGTGATGTCCGCCAATAAATTTTTTGGCATTCATCGATATTCATTTTATCGTAAACTTCAGTATTGATCGAATATTTTCAACTCAACTTCAGTTCAATTCACTCCAAACCTTACGAGATTACAGTTTAAAAAAATCGTGTTTGCAGCCGAAGAATAAGCTTGCACAAATGGACACAGTAACGAATGTCGCCTCAATCCTAAACTCTCCTCAACACGACCATTCCCAATCGGTTTCACTTAATTGCATTTACATTTCAATCATCGAAAGAGCACCGTCTAAAATTCCACTTGTCTTCATTGATATAATGCTTACGAAGGACAGTGTTAAAGTAGACAAAAATTTGTTTAAAAAAAGTAAATTAATGTTGATATCGTATTGTCACATCGACTTTGTGAATCATAAACATTAGTCTTATGTAACTCAAACGAAATTCATCATTATGCTGCAGATATTGGAACAATCACGATTATCGAATATCGATGGTGCAGATAGCAATACTGTAAACTATAATGATTTTATTGGAAGTAATAGCGATATGGTTGAAAATATTTGTAATAATATCAATGAATGTACACTGGTAAATAATGCATCAAATGATAATACATACAACGATGATTCACACGAATCAACTCCAGAAGATGAAATTATTTATGAGGCTGAAATTTTGAGTATCAACGAAAAGAATTTGGTAGTCAAAGTAAGTTGACTTTATTTTAAAGCGGCGTTTGATTTTTTGATTGTCCTTAATTGTTCATTGGGCATTGCGATGTTGAACAGTCGGAGTGAACGTGTTTCGAATGAGTTGTTGACTGATTCATTAGTGATATCAGTTGATGGGATTCGCTCATTTCATTCCCGAAAGAGCTTTGTGCCATTGTGAAATTGCGTGATATTATATGGAATTCAGATCTTGTAGCAACAGCATTCTTTGGTACTAGTGTAGAGTCCACGTATAGTAGTAACAGAGATATTGAAGTTAGATACCAGTAGTATTAAAGACAACAATAATAATGATCAAAATAAACAATAGTTGATCAACAAAATATATTTTATTGAATAAATTAAGTGATATTTACGAAGTTTTTATTTCAATATCAGTATCATCATGAGTTGTGATAGTACAAGTTTTTAATGACTTCAGTTGCTGAAACTCTGTCGAGAATACATCAACGAAGTGAATACAAAAGAATCGAATTGGTTGGATCAACTGATGTGCGGAGTTAGTTTTTTAAATTGATTATTTCACTGTATAAAGGTAAATTGAAGTCATTTAAACAGAAGCATATGATAGTAATCGTCATTCGCTTATGTTCGTTGATAATTTCCGAATTCATTCAAACTGCAGATACTACTCAAAGTGTGCATCTACCGATGTGTTGTCACTGCTTACATTTATTCTCGTTTTTGTTTCTTCATCTTTATGTACATAACGATATTTCTTACTGAGTTGTAAATCCAGTGTTTGTTCCATGATCTCACAATCAGAAAAAATACACTATAAGTCATCTTATGCTCATATTGAACGAAGTTTTGTTTAAAGTATTGGTGTAAATAATTTGAATTTGCCATTAATACATTCAGTATATTATTACCTCACAAGAATTTTCGATAATCCCATAATCGCTCTGTGAAGAACAAACAAATTTTGAATGAATAAAATTCAGTTATTGAAATAAAAGAGAGAATGAATCAAATAATATTTCAGATAAGTTTGAAACAGAATGAATTAAGACAAAAGACCGTGGAAGCGTTGCAGCATAAGCGAGGATTGTTTGAAACTTATTCAAAGTTATCGTCACGATGCAACCATCTTCGAGAGTTGTATTCGAAACAACGTCAGAAACAACTTTCGGAAATCTACTATCGACAGGCAAGGTCACTGTCACTCGACGAGCCCAAAATGCAATTGTTACCAAACCAACATTATTTCGACCGCTCCATCAATAGTAATGATGTTAAAAATAATAACGTACCGTACGCAATGCGAGCAAGTGTTTGCGGTCAACGCATTGGAGTGCCTCCACCAGGTATGATATGATATGATATCGTCATTATGCGACGTTCTTCTTTCGTTCATCAGTCACTTTTTTCTCTTAGCACAACTGAAGTTTGTTTAAATGGTATGCAATCGAATCACGAACTGAGTCTCATCATATTTACAGAACGTCGAGCACCTATCAGCTTCCGGCTGATTAAGACTCGAGAGACAATTCAGTAATGAACCATCGAATCATCTCAGCAATATTCTATCGCCAGTTCATAACGTTATTGCCATCAATTCCATTCAGTTATTTCGTTTTATTCTCTTCAGTGATATATAAAAATACACCGGCATTATCGTGATTAATATATTCTGTTGATTATAGCATTTATTACATCTTTATCATGTTCACCTTGATGTTTCCTTATTTTTACACAAACAGAGCATCGAATTCCAATTTTAGAACCTATAGATATAATAGAATACTATAATAGAATAATAGACTTTTTATAATATAATAAAAATATTTTATGAATCGATTTTTGGTTACTTTAACATTATTTCTCTCATCTAGAATTGTTGTTGTTGTCGTTATCAATTGTTATTATTGTGATTGCTACAATTCATCTACTGTTACTCTATTATGGTCATCTCGTTTCAGTTTCATGTATTCATCTCTCACCCGGCACAGTTTTATATGTCTTATAGATATGCCAGTTGATATAGTTTATATTCAAATATGTCGGTGTTCATTTTGTTTTGACTTGTAAAAAGGATTTTTTTTACCTCATTTGAATGTTGATGAAGTGTTTTTGTTTGTTTCGATGTGTCTCGTTAGCGAATATTTAGTCGCATCTCCAAATTTGTTTCCGATTTTTATGATCACCTTGTCCACGACGCACATTTCAGGATGTCTTTTAATCGTTTTGAATTGTTTGAGTTATTTCACTGTGTTTTTTGCGTTTTTAGAATTGTTTTATTGAAGCTCCAATTCATTCATAAATATTTGTGAATGATGAATATTTAGAGGGTATTTGCCAAACAATTTTCATTTAGTAATGTTGTAATTGAATAATAATGTTGCAAGGATTGTTGATGGGTGGATTCGAGCATGGAAGTGTGCTCGGACGGTTTTATTTGTTGGTGTTGCTTTATAGTTCACATAGGAGATTGATCGTTTTTTTGTTGTTGTAAATAAATAAGTTTTTTTGAATATTGCTTTCGTGAGCATAAAGATGCTCAGTAGTGCGTGAATAGCAACGCTGTTATGTATCTGAACAATAACGCATTTTCACGTTTCTTTTGCGAATAACTCGAGAGCGTTCTTTTAATTGTAATTTGCAATTTGGCTAGTTGTGATGTGTCAATTACAGTGAACAAAAGAGAATCAGAAACTGATTGATTGTGTTTAAATGTTCAATTTCAAAATAAGTTTGAATTGATGGCAATTTTGGAAACTTTTAGCAAAATTCAAACTGATTGTGTGATTGAGGAATGCTGTGAGTTTCAGTGGTAAAAAAGAGAATGAAATCATCGATGAGCGTTGATGATGTAAAGAACAGGGCAAGAGGTGGGGCGGCCATACAGAAAAGTTCCGTGGAAGTGTCGTTGCATCCACTCGTTGTTATGAACATTTCTGAGCACTGGACGAGAATATGGGCACAAAGTTCGGACGGCAAACCGAATCAGGTTTCTTTTTCGGATGCGTTTACGCTATTTCTAGGTTGCAGTGTCCCTTTCATAAGAACGCAAAAAGGCGGAGGAATGCACAAGATATACGACTTTTATCAGGCAGTGGAATATCTCTGCAGAAAGCACATATGGAAGCGATTGTTCGTCAAAGTGAAAAATTCATGCATAAGCCAGATCTAAATAATCAAAGATTGGACAGTATCACAGTTGACTGATCAGAGACGACTGAGTTTCTGCATTAGGAGAGAACTTTTCAGTGTCACAATCAGCTGAAATGGATCGATGACCATTAATGCAATAAGCAGATTTAAAAACGGAGCAATCAAGTCGTTACGTTGTGATAGTTTGATCAAGTGATGTGTTACAATTTGATATGTGTTAGCTGGTGTGCGATATCATCGAATATTGATTGTGGTTATAAAAATGAAGTATAGGTATTCGGTGTGGTATTAGGACGGCAAACAGGACGTCATGTAGAACTGATAAACAGTTTCGAAGTGAAATGCAGTATGAATGACTCGAATAACGCTGTTGTTGATGAGGAATTCTTTGGGAAACGAGAAGCACAGTGTGAGTGTCTTTTAACTGTTGTTGATTGATTTAGCATCAGATTTGGTCGTTGATTGTTATTACTTCTAAATTTTATTGAACAAATAAAGGAAATTTTCCTTCCATTATGCACTGATTCAATGAGTAGAAAATTTTAAGACTTATTTAAATCGTTTAAAATGATGTTGTCTCCGTCGAACGGATACTCAAAAAAGTGAGAACTCCAATGAAGAAGATTGATGATGAAATTTTGATTCTTGATAAGCAGCATTTTGGATATTTCAGATCGTGAGGTATTTCCGGATCTTGATTTTTTGGGTTGGTATACAACAGGCAGTGAATTGCCAACAGAAGATGATCTGAATGTACACAAACAATTTTGTCATCTTCATGAATCACCAATTATGATTAAACTGAATCCAACAGCTGCTACAAGTACTGAAAAGGTTTATCGCATTGAGTTTGATTTATTTGTTTAATTCACTCTTTGAAAAGCTCCAGTTTTTTTTT